CAATATATATATATATATATATATATAAAAGATTCCCCACACCAAAATTTTACATAATGAGACCATTAAAAAAGTGCAAAAATTTTACATAATGAGACCATTAAAAAAGTGCAAAAGGCACGTCAAAACTTAGGAGAAAAAATCATTTTCACGTGAAAATAAGTATGGAAACTTACCCGTGCTCCTCTTTAGTCCAAGGAGACGCTTTCTTCCTCTCTGATTTACGTCTGGCCGGAACTTGTCTCAACTCGAACGATATTTCACATGAACCGTCAGAGAATTTTCCAATAGTGTTTTTTGCGAATAGAAGACATCTTTATAAGAGGGAAGCTCCACTTTACCGGAATCTATATCTTTTATATCTTTTAGAAGAACTTCATAATGCATATAAACATCACTTGCACTTTTTCCAGCTACTTTTTGGGCAATTTTGTGCAACATGTCCGGTGAAACATCAGAGAAGGCTGCCAGAGCCTCCTCGAAGATCTTATTCTGTTGAAGGGACCATCCATTGAAGGCCATATTTTCTCATAAAAGAATTTTTCTAAAGGTTTTGAAGAAGGTAGGTAGAGAGAGAAAAAGAGAATCAAGGAACACAGAGGGAGAAAGATGAAACAAAGAGTGAAAGGAGAAAGAGAGATTAAAGAGGCTGGTTCGTTATGATTTGAGAGTGAGAGAAAGTAGAGAGGCAGAGATTTTAATGAAAAGAAGGAGAAAAACTCTTTTAGAAGAATATAAGTCTCAAGACGTTTACAATCAAGAAGATCGGTCCAATTAGCAAATTCCTAACAACTATCCACGTAGATAGGACTTAGCGCTTGCTACAATTTAGGGTATGTCTTTAAACAAAAAAGAACGGTGAGGATTCGTCCAGCTGATTCCAATTAATTAGAAAAAAGTTACGATGATGATGACTTAATTCAAGATTTACCATAAAAAAGATATATCCAATTAGCAAATTCCTAACAAACCATTCATGTAGATACGCCTTAACACATGCCATGATTTAGGGTAGGGCTTTAAATAGAACACAATGACGAGGATTTATGTAGCCGATTTCAATAGATTAAAAAAATTTAATTAATTAAAAAATATATTGATGATGACTTAATTCAAGATTTGAAAAGGAGCTAATTAGAGAAAGGGATTTAGGGTTCTGTTTTGAACTTAAAAATTCTCATCGAAGAAGAAAAACATGGGAACCCTACTTTCAACTATGGTTGCTTTTGACTCGAGTTGTACTTTTTATTTATATAATAATTACTGCATTTGGATAAGCCTTCACTTTGATCTAGCCACGTGCCAATCACTTTGCAAAAAAAAAACTAGCACCCGGGAGATCGTAATGCCATCAAATCTAAGGAGCGGTTGCGCATATTGTATGTTAACTCCCTCATGCAAGATATTAAATTAATTTATGGATTTATCTAAAAACAAGTATATATACTTCTTTTTTTTTATAAACCCTAAGCCTTATTTTAACCTTATCCATTGTATTCAGTTTGGCCCAAACTTCGTCCATTGATCCTTCACAGTTTTTAATGGAAAAGTTCCGCCAGTCAAACAGTTTTTAATGGAAAAGTTTTCGAGTCAACGAACAGAGGGTTCTTCTCAAAAGAGTCAATCTTCGTCGATTAATCATTGGCGAGTCAAACAGTTTTTAATGGAAAAGCAGAGAGTCAAACTGCGTTTATTAATCGTTGCCGAGTCAAACTTCATCTATTAATCATTGGCGAATCAAACTTCGTCTATTAATCATTCACAGTTTTTGATGGAAGAGTTTTACCCGTCAACGAAGGGTACTGCCCACAAACGCCTATCTCAAAAGATGGACATTGTCGGATATAAATAATAGGGCAAGCTTTTTATGCTTCCCTAGAGCATAATACTTGTATACTCCCCCATTTAAAATGGAGGGTTAAGATTGCCTCAATCCCATTTTGAAGGGAAGGTTAAGATTGTTTCAATCACAATGTCATGTATCTACATTATTTTTTTTTTCTATAAACTATTTTGAAACCAAATTTTGGACATCCAATTTTCTATTAAACTGGCACTAGCGAAAAATATTAAAAACATATTTTCAATAAAATAACTAAAATACTCTTGGAAGTTTCAAAAGGTATTTTAGTCATTATATTTTTATCAAAAAATTATTTTAAATATTTTTTATAGGTGCACCCCAATGATAAGATGGCACGTACCAAATTTCATATTCATATAATTTGTATAAAAAAACTAAAAATAAAATATTTTGAGACGTGGGATCTAAGATGGTAGGGAAAGATAATAAAATTAAAAATAAAATACTTTGAGACGTCGGATCTAAGATGGTAGGGGAAGCATAGAAGAGGGATCTAAGATGGTAGGGGAAGATCAAAAAACCAAAAATAAAATACTTTGAGACGTCGGATCTAAGATGGTAAGGGAAGCATAGAAGAGGGATCTAAGATGGTAGGGGAAAATCAAAAAACTAAAAATAAAATACTTTGAGATGTCGGATCAAAGATGGTAGGGGAAGCATAGAAGAGGGAGCTAAGATGGTAGGGGAAGATCAAAAAACTAAAAATAAATTACTTTGAGAAGTCGGATCTAAGATGGTAGGAGAAGCATAGATCTTTTATGTTGTAGGGAAAGTATAGAAACCTTTCATTAAATAATATGTAGATGGTGTAAAAAAAATTCAATAAAATACATATTAAATATTAAGAATTTATTTATTTATTTTAATTTTTTCATGTCCAGGGCCTACATTACGAATAACCCTAAAAATTTGAATAATAAGATTGACTCAAAGAAACGCCATCCTTTTTTGATCAAATTTGTAACTTAGATAAAATGTTGTCCCCTCCAAATCATTGTTTATGAATCATAGAGTTAATTCGATGGCTCAAATATGTTTGTTTTTTTCTTGAAAAAACATTCACAACTTCATTGCTAAAACATTCTCAACATGTAAAAGAAACGAAAAAAACCAAAACAAAAACGATAGTACATAAAAAAAAACCCAAAAACAGCAAACAAACCTACATCTATTACTTGTTACATACACAATGTTCATTTCCGCCGCCATAACACCTCCTTTTGCAAACTAAACAATGTTCATCTCCGTCGCCATAACACCTCCTTTTGCAAACTAAACAATGTTCATCTCCGTCGCCATAACACCTGCTTGTATTACATTCCCTCCGTATTACATTCACTGTTCATCTCCGTCGCCATAACACCTGCTTTTGCAAAAGCGTCTGCCTCCATAACGCATGTAAAAAACTACAATCCATGTAGCATTCTATGATCTCGCTTATAAAGCTATGCAACTTCCACGGATACTCAGCCTTCGGCTTGACCCATTTGATAGTATTTAGTAATTCCGTACCCATTTGATAGCATTTAGTTATTCCGTACGTTTGACCCATTTACACCTCGCATGTTTGTATTTTCAGATTATTTAAAGAGCTTCTGTCAAAATTCATCATCAGGATGAAAAATAGTGATATTTTTAAGAAATTTTTTCCCCATCTCCTCAATATAATACTGAAATAGTAGGATGACAAATTGGCATTTTAAACTAATATTTTTCTAAAATATTAAAAGTGAGAATTAAGGAGAGAGAAGAATAACTAAAGATAATGAGTTGAAGATGGAGAGAGACACGGATCGCAGTGAATCTCTCTCAACCATTCTCACAGTGAATCTCTCTCAAAAGAGAAGACAATATTTGTTGGGTTCTGGAGAACCTATTAGCTTGCGGAACCGGAAATATCAAATATTGGGATCCTATTCTCGATAACCCCTTAGCTTGCGGAACCGAAAATCCTAAATACGGAGATCCCACCCAAGATCATGTACTTAATTGGCCATATGTGAAATAGATGAGTACAACTATAAATCGAATGCGAGAAATAAAACAAACATAAAAAGCACACCACAACAACACACAATGTACGTGGTTCATCCCGTTGGGCTATATCCACAGCCTCGTCAACTAGAAATTGTGATAATTCTACTATCAGAATAGAGATTATAGTTTTGAGTTACAAAGAGATAATATTTATTTCTAAACATTCGTAAAAGACCATCACCGATCTTTTCTTCTAAACTCGAGGTAAAAGACCATCACCAATCTTCCCTTCTAAACTCGCAGTAAAAGACCATCACCGATCTTCCCTTCTAAACTCACGGTAAAAGACCATCACTGATCTTCCTTTCTAAACTTACTCTCCCGACTGAGCAATACCCTTGATCAATATATCAACTTTTCCACCGCAATATCGCTACAGGAAAGATAACATTGAGAGTAACCGAGAGATTTTCTCTCTTTAGAAGTGAAAATTAACCAACCCAAAACTCATGAGAATAGAATACTACCTCTCTCCGAGAAGCCTTGTCTCTCTCTTGAAGAGAGCATCTCCATATTAGAGATCTATTCCAGTAACTCTTAAAGAGGTGACCCTCAAAGGATGAGTATTATGTATTCATTCACTTTGTTATATAGATCTCACTTTCTTGCTTTTCAAAAAAATCTATTTTCTATTTACTATAATACCCTTAATTTTCTAGAAAAAAAATATGTGTATGGTGATTTAGCTATATCACCAAACTCATCAATACCAATCCATCTATAAAACACCACGTATCTTGTCTAGCTAAAACAAATGTTTCCTCTCTCTCTCTACTCCATCTGCGGTAAATTTTTATATTTTGTACATTTTGTATATATACCTTTTTGAAATTTTTATATTTTGTACGTTTTGTATAGATACCTTTTCGAAATTTTTATATTTTGTACGTTTTGTATATGTACTTTTTCTAAACTTTGTCGAGTCGAATTCCTCTAGTCTAATTTCGATCCGAGGGCAACCTATCTGATTTTCTCCGGGACTGCGACGAGCCCTTTATATGTTGGGAAAAATAGTTTGCTGTCAATTTTTAAATTTCTTAAGATTGATATTTACATTTTTCAAAAAAATTATGGCCATTTTTCTAAAATAAGGTACCATGAATCCATATCTTATACTTTTTTCAATTACTTAAATAACTTTGGTGTTTTTGTTAGTGGTTTCATATGCTTTTAACTTTTTCCAAATTTTAAATTAAAAAAGTTTTATTATGTATTTTTAAATTTGAATTGAAATGTTCGGCCTTTACGGCCAATTTTTTTAAGTATTTAGGTAAACATCTCCTATATTTTTTTAAAATTTAAAAATATCTTCATGTTCCCTTTTTTATGTCAATTATATCTTTTTTTATGCATCAAATTGAGTTCAAATTTTGTTTTTATAGTTCTCACCATTATGCATTTGTAAAAAAAATAAAAATTATTAGATTAAAATAAAATTATTAAAATATGTACAAATTTTAAGGGAATTTTAGTTATTTTATTTTTTTAATATTATTTTTATATTTTTAACGTGTGCATTATGATGTGAAGTATAAACACCTAAAATTTGTTAATTAAAATTGAAATATCATACATGCTCAAATAAGTGAATGACACAATAAACTAAGTATTGAGAAAAAAA